TTTAGCCTTTGTGTTCCAGTCAAAATTGACATTTCAGAAATAAAGGTTCGAGCCTAAGCTTGGTCTAACTTTATGTCATTGGGAAAGGCACTTCACACGAAATTCTTATTGGACCCGGTCCTTTCGGCGATGGACGTTTAACTTGGAGATCCCGTCTCTGTTATAGCCAGAGTTGATAGGGGCTTTAGACATTATTCATTTTTTCTCAGAAAAAAAAATAAAAAAAATAAAAGTTTACCGAAAACGTTAGTACATATCTACATTTCCCTTGACCATAGCCAAACGAGCGGAGCTCTGGTTACTGTGTAACTCAAACATAAAAGCTATACGGGCAAAGAAAAGTGAATACTACACGTAACACTTCTTATCGTTTGGAAGAAGTTTGATGCCACTCTGAAAACAGTTTGATGTCAGTTTGATTTCAGTTTGATGTCAATTTGATGTCTGTTGGTGTCAGTTTGATGTCAGATTGATGCCAATTTCAGGTTAGTTTGATGTCGGAGTAAACTAAAACCCCACAAAACGTCTGACGTAGTTTCTAAAAATATGGACACGCCCCCTCCCACAACATTCCCTCATCTACCCCCGCTCGTTCCTCTTACATTCCTGGCAAGGTAATACGCAGAAATACACAAAGGCTAGGGTAAGTGGCTGCATCTTTGTCCCCAGGCTAGGACGGGATTGTGCTAATGATTATTAGAATGCTCGTCGGCTCGTCATCCTTGTCAGAGTGTGTGTGTTGTGTGACATTTCTCTCGCCCAAGCCTTATCGAGCCGCCTTCCTCGTTATCTAATACCCAAGCTCTGGATTTATCAGCGTATTCTTTTCTCCTCATTTTCGCTGATATTTCCGGGACGGCCACTGCATGCTGGATCGATACAACACCTGGGTGTCGAAGCCACAAATAGATTTCTGTTTGCGTGGTGGTTTTCTTACAGTTCTATTTTGTTTTCATACATTGCGAAGAAAGCCCCAGAAAATGGTGAAGGTCTCCGCGGGAATAAAAACTGAAGAGTATGAGTGAGCAGTGACGTTCTTATTCAAAAACATGTGGAATGCTTTACCAAGTACTTTAAGAGAGATCAAATCTTTTGATTCATTCAAATGTCAGCTCAAGTCGTTTTTGTTTTTAAATTAATAAGATGAATATTTGGAACACGACGTATTATGTTACTGTTGTACGTTGTACTGTATTGTAAAGCACTCAGAGCCTGAGTACTTTAACCGGGGTTGAGCGCTATGTGAATGTCATGTGTTATTATTCTTATTATTAAAACCAGCTGTCAATGTGCTTTGTATTTAAGACGTTCTACGACCCCAGCGACACACACACTAAGGAGGCGGGCTGCCACGACACTGCTTGTCAAGGCCAACCCGGGTTGAGACGGATACAAGGTCCCACTGGCCAGACGGAGACACTAGCGGAGAGGGATAAGAAAAAACCCCTCCCCATAATATGAGACGTGTGCTCAACAGACGGCATTAACCAGCTGCATACACAGTCGCACAATTGCACACATAATGTACGCTTGAAAGTGAAAGATAGGCACACTTCTTGTGCATACGCTGAATTTAACCAACAGTACCACAAGCTTCCCAGGCAGATGAGATTGTGTCAGAATGCTATCAGGTCTGCTTGGGTATTAATTATATATACACAGATTGTAAAGGGCATACCGACTGCTTTTGAGAAAGAATGTACGCTGTACAAATGTTATTTATTATTTATTATTACCTTTACTTTGAAGAACTGCAAAGTCACAACACCATTGACCACCAACTGCGTATTTGTGTATGGGGAAACGAGGGATGGAACTTCTGACTTCAGACTATTCCATCCCATGAGGTAGGAATGAGTTTTCTTAGAGAAAAAGTTACGTCCTGTGATTTTTGCTCGCATTTTTTTTTCTCAAAAGTCTAAAGCCTAGGATAAACGTGAGAGGCATGTGGTGTTTGCAGCGAATCTTGGCAATAATAGGTTTTCACTATAGAAAATGACTGAAGCAAGACTTCAGATATGTTTGCGAAACACAACTTATTCTTTCATTTTCCTGTTGATAAAACTTTCCCTAAACCCTGATGCTCGGTATGGCTCTTCACGAAAAAAAGGTAATGAGCCTTTTGGGTTATGTAACTAACTATGAAAAACTAATACATCAGAAAAAAAAGCGTGACGTTCGACACAACTTTCGTTTTTCGCACACGCAGACAACAGAACCGACTGAAACCTTGCTATGTTTCGGCTCCGCAAGCAACGCTGTAGACCGTAAGTGCTATAGTTATCAATAGGAACGTAAAAAAAAAAAACCAGATTCCGATGTTGAATAAAAAGATGTTCATCGTGTTCATAACAATTATAAGGTCACCACAATATACATGTACACGACGATGAATTGTTTGCCTGAGAAACACTGAAGTTGTAAACACGTAACTTCCGAGTGAGGAAAAGAAAAGTACTTTTTGAGAAGCCTCATTATGGTGAGGTGTGATTCAAACTAATAAATTCTAATCGGCAAACGCTTCTCATTTTCAAATGAACGTTTTTTTGTCTAGAACCCAAGACAACGAACATACATCAAAAATATTGTAAAAATGCAGACATTTGAATTCACAATGAACACCTTTTAAAAAAACACACCATTTGTCAGTGTTACAAGCATGGTGAACACACCCAGGCATGTATTCTTCATGAATTGACACTACTGTATATTATATAGAGTTACAAACGGCTTGCTGCGACAGTCAACAGATCACAATCAGTTTGGCGACAGTTGATCACAATGAAAAGTTTGAAAAGCCCACTGATGGCACAACGATAGCGGAGTCAAAAGGAAAGCAAAATGGTAGGCGTGACAGAGTTACAGGGTTCCAAATAGGAGTCAAAATTGTGAAAGGGAAAATAAGCCCACAACAGTTGGGGCTGGGGTTTGATGTTGAGAAAAAAATAATTAGTAGCTCTTTTTTGCTGCTTCTTCCAAACATCGAGACTCCCCCCCCCCCACCCCTTTCCCTCGAAAAAAAGGAAAAACATGGGGAAGGGGGCGCGTCGTCTATTAAACTATTAAATCGTTCAAAGTCACATGATTTTAAGAATAAATGCGGAATAGTGTACACCCAGTTGGATGAGTAGGGGTTTCGGCACCCATACCTGTGCTTCGAAAGCAGTGTATCCACATAGGTAAAGTTCGTGTTCAGTTTTCATATATCGTGGAAAACTAACAATGCAGATATTAGAGAAATACCACTGATATAGAATTATAGAATAAACAAAGTTTACAGTGCTCTTTCAGGAAAAAGGTCGCCGAAGACCGCAATACCTATTTTCCAGGTTGTGTTTTCTTTTATGAAAAAGGTGGCTGAGTAACAGGACACTTATTTGACGCAGAGGCAACGTTTAACATAGTGAGAACACAAATAGGGGTACATCAGGCAGCGGGGAACAAAATCAAGCAATGTCACATTGAAGGCAACAAATGGATGAAAGAAGTTTGCGAGGGGTATGTGGAGTGAGGTTAAGGGGAAAAAAGGGGGGGGGGGGGGGAGGTGATTTCACATTCAAAGTTTTACAGGTAAGATCAACGGTCATATTAGAAACAATGTTATCACTACTTCGTTTCCGTGCATTTGTTTTGTTCGTTCTCATTTTTAAAATTGATATGAAATTAGGCAGCTTGGGTCGAAACTGTCTCTTTTAAATTAGTGAAACTTGAGTTTATTTTCCTTTGAGTTAAATTCATAAGGTGAATACGATGTAGATTGTTACAGATACCTGAAATACATTTCTATTCTTCTGGTCGAGATTACCTGTGCAATGTTCCTGCTTTTGTTTTTGTTTTTTTCTTCAGGGCTTAGCTCTGTTCTGAGCATAATACAGATGTACATATCGACATTGGTGCGAATACATATTCCTTTTGACAGTGGCACTATAGGTGTTCAGCAGCTTGGGACACGCATTTTCACGTTTATTAATAGGTCAATTAAGTTTCAGGGCAGGCAGATAACATTTCAATGAAGACTTGGAAAGCTTTTATTAGGGCAACAGCGTTAAACAACCCGAAGATGGCGTACATTTAACTTATTCTGTTACAGATTAAAGCTCGTATTGTGCGCATTCTCTGGTAACTTGAAAAGTGAAACTTTCGAGCTTACGTCCATCTCCGCAGGGCAAGCATTTGAATCAGATTACGATAGCGTGGAAACCCAGAGATTGTGTTTCCCAAACGAGATTACTTTATGTTGCATAACTACAACCTTGTAGGACTATATCAGTTAAAGATATTATTCTCCTATTATATTCTCATATCAACGGATTAACGTATATTTATTTGTTTGCTGCTCATCAAAGAACATGAAATGGACTTGCTGTACAACTATGAGTGCTTGGAAGAACCCGGCCTTAAGTCCAAGCCCCGCAATCTAAAGTGAAGCCTCTCATTGCAATAGTTTTACTAACAGAACTACATAATAATACAGAGAGCTGTGAGCTATAGTCATTGAAGGGCAACAGTGCTGATTTTGAAATCGCAACCTCTCCCCCACTATGTACTTCTCCAATGGGATTAACTTTCACAAGTAAATAAATATATCTATAATGAATTCTTGTGTATTTACAAAACTATTAATTAGTGTATATTATATGAATAAACCTAAAAGAGCGTCTACAAAATAACTCAATAAAATTATCTGTACCTTCTTCTTAAGTCGTTTGAATATCATAAGACATCCCTATTCAGTTGACATTAAAACATTGGAATTTCGCTTCACTTGCTGTAAAACTGACGAAAATTTTCACTTGAGTTTAGAGCTAAATTGCATTTCAACTATCGCATTTAGACTCCATTGAACTGACGTGAAATAGTAGCCGTAGGTGAACCAAAGTGTCGTTGAACTTCTACAGTGACAACGTGGACAAGAAAATTATTGTGATCATTATTTACGATGTAGAAAACGTGTAGGAGATACCAAAAAAAAAAAGTCCGTGAGAACACAGGGGACTTACCCAGCGCACCTTGATCTACACAGCAGCGAAAGCAGAGGGGCGGGCGGAGAGAGAAGAAAACTAGATGAAAATAAAGGTCACATGATCAACAATGGCTCTACAGCAGGAAATCTACAGGGAAGAGCAAGATCTAGATCTAGGTCTAATCTGAAAACTCTAATGACTACCTACAAGCGATGTTTCTACATAGCAGCGATGATTGGGAGGTAGGGGTCACCAGAACACATGGTTAGGGTTTTGAGGTTTGGGAACAGCCTAGGGATTAGGGTTAGGGTGGGGTTGTTGTTGTTGTTTTTTTTTTTTGGGGGGGGGGGG